TTGTAGAAAATGATTTTCTTTTTTTTCCCCCCCTTTTATTCAGCAGATATACTGCCAACCGAGCCTATCACTTCTCTGTGATTTAAAATGACCACAAATATATTATAGAAGGCTTAATCTTTGCATTAGGGTGAAGGTAACAGTATGGTTTTCAAGGGGACAAAATATTTCCTTTAGCTGATTTAGGCCTGTGATGTGTATTTTGAATACTTTTGAGGTTATAATTATCTCTAGTTACAATATGTTTTTGTTTCATGAAGAAACTGATGAGATTCTCATAAATTTTTATCAATATTTCCTTCAAGAAGACTCTGGGTTGGGAAATTTTTGAATATGTCCTTTGCAGAAAGAAATAAATTATTTTAGTTATCCAAAGAATCTAATATTTAGATTACAGATTAGACTAAGCTAACTAAAATTGAGGAAAAGAAAGAAAATTAGACTGTTAAATAAAACAACTCTGGTGTATTTTAGCAACATGTAATTGATAATAAAAGAAGTGACAACTTTATTTTAATAGCAAACTTTCATGCCCAATCAAAAGTATATAATAGAAATCCATTTGTATATTGAAAATGTCTCACTTCACTTATTAATAAGATATTAATATGGAAATATCTATTTTAGCTCCTTGTCCCTTTGTTGTCCTATTTCACAACATATTGTGCTCTACAAGAGGGCTATGACTTCAAAACAATCAAAGCCTACACTTTCATAATCCAGACAACACTTTCTGCTGACATCAACTCTATTCACAGAAATATTTAAATTAGTGCAGTGGTGAGATGTATATGTGGAATGGAGCAAACAGTACTTTTCCTGAAATATACTCAATTAATCTTATTGTGATGGGAATGTGGTCATAAATAGCTCACACAAAAGTCTTAGTAACACACTTAGAACACCTTAAAATCCACAAGACCTAATTTTAAATAGGTGAGCTACACTAGAAATAACAATGATATATGATCTGGAAATGAATTGTTTCCTTATTATTTCTTTTGGGCTCATGTAGTCATCAGGTCCTTGGAGTAAGGCATGAATTACCAATGCTTTTCTTTTTTCTTGATACATAGCCTAACAACAACGTTCTTAAGTAAGAACTTGATGACATCATATTAGTGGTGTTAGCCAAAACTACATATAAAACTATTTTGTAAGACTGAAACACAGCTTAAGTTTCAAACAAAACAACAACAACCAAAAAAAAAACACCTTGTGGTTTAAAGGAAATTTAAAACTCTTTCAATTTCTAAACACTTGGTTTTAGCTCTTCCAAATGGATAAAAATTATTTTTAAATTATAAAATTCAGACCATACAAAATGCAACATTTCTCTTTGAGCTCAAAGCCTACATTGGCGTAAACAGGGCATTCTAATATTGTTGTATATGTTGTAAAATTGTTATAAAGTTGAGAAATGTCTTACCTAGGCTAGGGATTTTCACCAGAAAACTAAATCTAGTAAATTTACAAAAGGCAAATGAATGAGACCTCCATTAGAGGACTTTTGGGAGAGCTGACAAAAAGTCTTTGATTCTGAAAGTTCAAATAAAACCTGGTAGTTGCTTCTCCTCACCCTTCGCTTCTCTTCACCCCTCGCCTCTCTATGAACAGAAAGGAATATGCTGGTTTGGGGCTATAACCACTGACTCCACTGAATCTCTAATCCACTTTATTTTTCTGCACACTGCTAGTATTTGTCACTCTAGGAATTCTTTGGTTGATAAATTATAGGTTACTTAAAATTTTCAATAAAAAGTTCCTTCAAGATGTCTAAATGAAAGAATGCAAGTCAGAGAACATTTAACTTTGTTGTACATTCAGTAATTAGGAATAAATCCAAGGAATTATATAAAGATCTGTACAAAAAATGTTTATATCCAACCCTTAGTCAATCCAGTAATAGCCCATAGCTGTTGACCTGACAATTACAAGCATCAAGAAGAAGGAAAAGCAGATTGTAATGCTAACTTGGGCTCTTTAATGCTATAACTTTTGTTTTTCTTATTACACAAATAAATTATAGTGTTTTGTGCTCTTCTGCTCTTCTATAAACTTGAAAACTAAGAACAGATTTTATATTCATGCTTTTGGTATAGATTATTTGGTGCGGATTAGCCTCATATAATTCCAAAAGTTATCAGTGAAAGAAAGAATAACTTATGTTTCAAATACAAGTAAATCTGTGGCACAAAAGTAGTTTGCTTAAGTTTTTTTTAAAAAAATGTATATGTCCATATTAAATTTTATATTCTATACAACTGATTTAATCCTGAAAGTCTCCCTAAGAGTTATTGATCTTAAATTGAAACACTGTCTGCTTTAGGATGAAGGGCAAAATGGAATCTAAATATTAAAAGCTTTCTCAAGTCTTGAAAAGTCTTTTTAATTTAAATAGCATTAGGCTGTGAATTGCAAATTTTAACAGCCTAGATGAGAAAAATATTGATGCAACTTTCACATTTTCATACCAGTATTTAAGGATTATACTTCCAATGCTGCTCACAAAATTAAAACCAAAACAATCTATCTCCTAGCTAAAGGATTATCATTAAAGTTTGTTAAATAATGAAAATGTGTTTTCCCTTTCACAAGAAAAGAAATTCTTTTGGGGAATTATGACCAGTAAGAGAAAATGCCACCAGTCTGTCTTTGTGAAAATTGCCATACTCTTTACTACCTCCAAGCCATATACCACATCAAAGAATGAGGAAGGAACCTCTGACTGAGATAAATGTGGGAAGAAACAGAGGATTTGGACATGAAGCATGGTTCTTCCACTTGGGGACCTGTGACAAGTCACTTCACAGAGCCTGTTTTTCCATCTATAAAATGAGGGGCCTGGAAATGCTCTACAAGATGCCTTCTGACTCTAAATTCTGGGATCCTAAAAAGCATTGTTGGTGTATTTCTTTATTTGTTTACTTCTGTGCATTGCCTAGTACAGGTATATGTGATAGCAACAAAATGCTCAATTTTTTGAGCATCAAGTGATTGAACTGAAAAAAACTGATCAAAAGGACATTTCCTTCATATGCTACAACATAACTCATCAGTAGTAGATTGATTATGTTTTCACTTTAGTTTAAATGTAGTAATCGGTATGTGTAAAAGATATTTTTACAAAGACATTTTTACTGGAAAGACAAATGCAGGGCATTTTCTATTAATTTCTTTCATTCTTTAAAATTCTGTGCAGTGACAGGCACCAAAAAGTTGCAAAGGGCAGGGGAAATCTGTGAAGTAGAACCAAAATAACTAGAATTTAAGCCTATCTAAAACAAAACAACATCACAAGGAATAGACATGGTATTTTTAAAGGTTTACCATGTCAACATTTACTCCGGTCCACAATTACTGCCATTCCTCATCCCTCCTAATATACACCCCGCTCCATTCATCATGAGGAGTAGCTGAGGTCATCTAGATAACTCCAAATCAAATGAGTTGTAACTAACTCGATGAAGCTAGAGGCAAAGGAATCACTGAGACTCACTCTTAACTCTGCATCACTTGTATGCATACAATGAGTGTCTCAGAAACATGGTCTTCTACCTATCAGCTAATTTCTAGCTGTCCGTGTGACCAGCGATCATGGCCTGGGGCAGAAGAAACTGTGCTCACAAAAGCTTTTTTCTTCAGAATATTATTTTGTTTCACGTAGCCTCTGGATCTGTATCGTGCTCCTCAGCTGTATCTCTCTGTATACACAAATGTGTGTATTTGCACTTGTGTCTGTGTATGCATGTGAGGACTAAAATTATGGAACCCAACAGCTGGAGCTGGCTGACTAGAACTAAGTTCTGGGATGCTTCTATCAAGGCTGAAGAGACTAAGAGGAAAATAATCTGCAATTTTTGTGGATAAATGTTTTGTAGTTTCTTTAGAAATGAACTTCTTTTTCTTTTTTTCTTTTTTTGGGGGCAACTGGGGCTAAGTGACTTGCCCAGGGTCACACAGCTAGTAAGTGTCAAGTGTTTGGTCTGAGGCCAAATTTGAACTCAGGTCCTCCTGACTTCAGGGCCGGTGCTCTATCCACTGCGCCACCTAGGGGCCCCTCAGAAACGAACTTCTTGCTGACTATGAAACCCATGAGGCACTGACACATTTTTGTGGCCCCTTTATAACAGCTTAGAATGTAACACTGGAAAGGGTCAGGTATGAAAAAAGTCAAAAAGGTACTGGTCCTAATAAGAAACCATTTTCTATTTCTTTTCATTCACCATTTTCATCACTACTATTGGAATGCTTCATTTTAGGTCACTCTCCTTTATAAACATTCTTCCTACTGACAGCAGCTCTTCATCGATTCATTCAAAAGCAAGTCGCTAAAACTCTGGCTTAAGCTCTCAAGGGAAACTACATGCAAAAGTTTCTGATGATCTGACCAAAGAGAGACAGGATGATAGGGAATAAGGAAAATTTCAACCTTCCTGATAAAATGGGTGTGTGGTGACCCAAATGTATTGGTCACTGTACTATTAAAAAAAAAAGTCCAAATATTTTCAAATGTAAAATGTAGTAGTGTATTATTTTTTAAAGAAGAAATTTTAGCACTTTCAAACCTTGTCAATTGAAGTGATGCCAGCTATTAATAAAATAGAAGTTTGGGAAAATATTCTAAAAATACAATCTTGCCTCAGTCATGAGATAATCAAGGTTATGCTGGAACATGTCTGCCAACTTGGCACCACCAATTAGGATCATAGCACCAATGTATTAGGTCTCTGTAACTTAAGGCAGCAAACTGAATTGAGCAAACTATGAACTGAGCAATATCAATAGTAGTTAATCCATGTCAGACAGATAGGATCCGTGGTCCCTTACATTTATAGGCTGTGCTTTTCTATGGATGATGGCCAGGTACAGCAGAAGAGCTGTGATTGGCTAAGCAGCACTTGGCAGAACAGTCCATTTTTTTTAATGCATATGCCTAGGACATTTTCAAATTGGCACATTAAAAAACCCAACCGACTTAAAAAAGTAACTCTAGACTATTGCAGGTAATGTAGTATAAACTCATTTCGTCTGAGGGAAAAAATATTACTTTGCTGGGAAAGAGTCCTGTAGGTGGTGTCTGGAATGACTTCATCCCTATGTCACTTTTTTCTTGATGGCAGCTAGCTCTTTCTGAAGTTCGCTGAACTTGGGGCGGTTTTCAGGTTTGTAGTCCCAACACTTCAGCATTATTTTATAAATTTCTTCAGGACACTTATGAGGAGCTGACATCCGGTATCCTGGACCCCAAAGGAAGAAGGAAATGTAGTTTAGAATAGTGGTCAGATGTTGACCTTAGGCCTTCCTTAAGACCTCTGATGCAACACTTTAACTTTAAAACTTTCATTGTTTAGGTTATTTGGTATAATAAAGAGTTCTACAAATGGTATGTAAAGGCATACAGAATTCTCTCTTCATATGGACTTCAATTCTGCTGCCCAGAAAATATTTCACTATCTCATTTACAGGAGCCATATTTTGTTTGCCTTAGGGCCTGAATTAATAATATGCTATATGCAATGATGTAACTGGCCTAAAGAAAAACAAAATTTTCATTAAAAAGCATTCACGTATAGTTTCAACCACATCTTATAATCTAAGGCTAAGGCTAGTAATATTTATAAGCACACAAAGACTTCTATGAGCACCCAGTTTAAAATGAAAAATTAAAAGTAAAATGAACAAAATTCTTCTACATTCTGGGAAGAAAATAATTTGAAATTTCCTTAAAGGATAAAATTAGAATGAATAACTGGAATGTGGAAGGGATATTCAGGAACTTCTCTTAAAGCCAGATTTGGGGAAGAGGCTATGATATTATAGAAGGAACCCTGTATTTTGCGGGTATCATAAGAACCAAAAAAATTGGAGGGAATCATTGCCCTAAACTACTTGGTTTCACCATTTCACCTGTACACTGTCCACTACTCTTGAATCCTTGCCTCTTCCCTCCTTCCTATCAATGTTCACACTTTGTTAAATACCAGAGTTGGATTATTCCAATCATCTGTCTCATCCACTCATAGTAAGACTGTTGCTGACAGGAACTAGAGGAAATCACTCAACTGAACTTACTGGGTCCGCTACAAATTAGTTCATCTAACCTTAACTGGCTCTCATTTTAGCAAGATGGTACTTTTACTATTCTCCCCATCTGCCTCAGTTTCCTCATCTGTAAAATGAGCTTGAGAAGGAAATAGCAAACTAACCCAGCATCTTTGTCAAGAAAATCCTAAATGGGGTCACAAAAAGTCAGACACAACTAAAACAACTGAACAATGACAACAAAAAATCCAGATTCTTTATCCCACTCCCCCATCCCCAAATATCCCCAGCTATTCTACATATCTTCTTCTTTACTCAAGTATCTCACATCATTTCCTCCTTCCTCCCTCTCAACTAAGGATCTCCTTCACACTTCACTGAGAAAATAGAGACAATTTTCAATGAGCTCCTCCTTTTTCATATCTCAATACCCTTCCTTCACATGATTTATTATGAAGTCAACCACTTCACATGCACACTTAATTGATCCCATAACCCTTCCCCTTCTCTTTCTAACCTTCAAGCATTCCCTATCTCTGTATCTTTCTTTTTATCTAAAAAATGCTCAAGTCTCCTCCATTGTGAAATGACCCTCATTAGAACCTGACATCCCTTCAAGTTAGGTCTCATATCTCTTATATCATCTCTTTTATAACCAAGTTCCTAAAAAAAAAACCATCTACACACATTGACTCTACTCCTTCCCTCACTCACCTCTCAACACTTTGAAAAATGGCTTCCAAACTTATTATTCAACTCAAACTGCTCCCTCCAATTTACCAATCATCTCTTAATTGACAAGTCTTTTAGCCTTTTCTCAATCTCAGCCTTCCTGACTTCTTGCAGCATTTGATGCATGTGTGTGAGGTGTTCATTTATTTTTGAAAATTTTGAACTTAGACACCAAATCAGTTGGGTATTTCCACATACATAGAAGAAAAAGAGGACTGTATATGAGAATGAAAATATTATGTAAGGCCTAGCTTTCTTTTAAAATATAAATTCAACATGTAACATCCAAAGCTATCCTCATCTGCGATTCTTTTGTTTCCTTTTGTGGATTTTTTAAAAATAAAACTCTTTCAATAACTCTTCTTTCTTTCTTTTCTTTTTCTTTCTTTTAAAAATTTTCTGACTACCTTATCTCTAGCACCCCATCTCCCTCCCACCACCCCAATGAAACAGAAAAACAAAAGCCACATAACAAACAGATACAGTCAAGCAAAAAACAAAGCAAAACAAAAAATCTCATACTGGCTGTGTCAAAAAATGAATCTTATATTGCATCTTGAGTCTATCACCTCTGCCAGCATGCTTTACTATTGGTCCTCTGGAATCATGATAAGTCAGTTAACTGATAAGAGATTTTAAGTCTTTTGAAGTTGTTTTTGTTTACAATGATGTTACTATATAAATAGCTCTCTCCTGGTTCTGCTCAACACTCTACATAAGTCATGCAAGTCTTCCCAGGATTCTATGAAACTGTCCTTTTATAATTTCTTACAGCATAATAATATTCCATAACATCCCTATATCATTATTTGTTCAGCTATTCTGCAACTGAGGGACATTCCCTTAGTTTCCAGTTCTTTGCCACTATAAAAAGAATTGCTATAAGTGTTTCTTTCTATATGGACTCTCCCTTTTTCTTTGATATTTTTAGGGTATTAGACTAGCGAAGGTATTATTGGATCCAAAAATACATATGCACAGTTTAGTGAATTTGTGGGCATAATTCCAAATTGCTTTCCACAATGACTGGACCATTCACAGTTCTACCAAGAGTATGTTATTGTACCTGCCTTTCCACATCCCTCTAGCAATTTTCATTTTCCCTTTTTGTCATTTTGACAATTTGATAAGTGTGGTGGGGAATCTCAGTGTTGTTTTAATTTATGTATCTCTATTAGTGATTTGGAACATTTTAAAATATGGTTGATAGCTTAAATTTCTTCCTTTGAAAACTGACTTTACATATGCATACATTATATATACATTCTATATACTTACATATATTATCCTTTGACTTATTGTAGAATGGCTATTGTTCTTATAAATTTGAATCAGTTTCTTTTATATTTTGGTAATAAAATCTTAATTAGCCAAACTTCTCCAAATATTTAGCTCTTTCTATTCTTAGAAAAAGTATTTTATATTTCTATTCACATAGTTCCTTTGTCTGCCCTGGTTTATAGCTTCCTAAATATTTTACAAATTTGTGGTTATGTTGAATGGTGTTTCTCTATTTCTTCCTGCTGTCTTTTGTTGGTAATATATAGAAATGCTGGTGATTTATTTTATATCTTGCAAATCTCCTGAGGTTATTTTTAATTAATTTTTTAGTTGACTCTTGGTTTCTCTTGATAGACCATCATATCATTTGCAAAATGATGACCATATCATTTCCTCTTCTCCATATGCTTATTCCCTTAATTTCATTTTCTTTTCCTATTGTAATAATAAGGAGAAAGGAAGTAGAAACACTAATTGTAGACAGCTTTCTCTAGGAGTTTGAGAAGTGTTGGGAGGAGGGAGAGTGATAGTTTAACGGAATGTTAGCAAGAGAGGGGAAAGAACTCAGGTTACAATCTCCTAGAGAAGATGGGAAGGGATAAAATCAAGGGTACAAGTGGAGGAGGTGGCCTTGGCCATCAGGGCCTAGGAGAAAAGAAGGAAGGAAGAAGGAAATAAGCATTTATCAAGCAATTACTATATGTGCCAGGTATTGTGCTACATTCTGGAGATACAAATACAAGCAAAAAGACAGTTTCTTGTTCTCAAAGAGCTTACATTTTATCAGTCAATAAACATTAAGTACATACTCTGTGCTAGGCACGTACGATATGCTGGGGATACAAAAAGGCAAAAGAAGTCTAGTCCCTGGTCTCACGGAACTCACCATCTAATTTTAATGGGGGAAGACAAAACACAAAAGTGAGCTAAAAAACTGAGGGGGGTTGTGATGTAAGGAAGGAAACAGAGAGTGGTTGATGATTTTAAGGGCTTCTGAGATGCAGAGAAGAGGGAGCCCACCTTGAATGAGATTAATTTTCTGAGTAAAGTAAGAGGCAAAGTCTGAAAAAGAGAGAGAGAGAGAGAGAGAGAGAGAGAGAGAGAGAGAGAGAGAGAGAGAGAGAGAGAGAGAGAGAGAGAGAGAGAGAGAAAACTTTTGTGAGGAGTGAGATAAAGAATTAAGGATGACTAACAGAATTTTCTTGCTATAGTGAGAGCTCAATTGAGGTTATAGAACATGAATTTATAAATTATTTCTCATTGACTTCTTTTCCAAGTTCTTGATAACTTACATTTGTTTTAATATTTCTTGTACCTAAGAGCAATTGCATTTTTAATTTGATTCTTATTTTCAGGATATTTGCTACTTTGCAAGGATTTTCTTCCTATTCTGAAGTATTCATTTTCCAGTTCTTTCCTCTAGAGCTCTTCTTTTGCTTATAATTTAATTTTTTATCTTTTGCTTTACTTCTTCCAGTCCATTTTTGGAGTCCCTGTGGCCAATGTTTTTTTTTTTTTGGCCTGAGGGAGACTGTGATTTTACTTTTCACTCTCTTCTGATTTTACCTCTTGATCCATAAATAGCATTTTTTTTAAAAAAACTGTGTTTAATGTTTCCTTTTATTTACTGACATTTCTAGCCTCAGTTCTTGGTTTGAGAATTTGTGCCATGTTCTTCCCTCTCCTGCACTCCTGGGTGGGATTGTCCTCTTTGGTCTTGATCCCTATTTCCTGGACTCTTGGCATTAGCTTTCAAACCTTGCCCCTCCCTCTGCCTTCCTGCCAACTCTCCAGAATGTTTGTGTTCAGGATCTCCAGGAATAAAGTGGTGCAGACTTCTGATCCCCCTGTAACCTCCCAGGCAGAGTTCTGTAGGCTTCCACTCTGCTGACTAGTGCTTGCACTGGCTTCCCTGATGAAGCCCCATCCCCTCAAACCTGCAGGCTTCTGGTTGCCTTTTTGTGCAAGCCTGGGGTTCAACCAAGGTGTTTACTGTTATTTCTTTTTGTCATTTCTTCATTATTATTTAATCTAGTGCCCTTTTTTTTGGATTTCTCCCCAAATGTCTCATTCCTCTTAAAGCCTTCTTTCCTTTTTTTCTTCTACCTGTTTCACTGCCACATTTAATGTGTTTCTTCTATAGACTCTGTGAGTGTGTGTGTGTGTGTGTGTGTGTGTGTGTGTGTACGTGTATGTGTGTGTGTTTAATCATCATCAGATAAAGATAAGGTCCATGAGATGCCCATTTTCCCCATTCTCCCCAATAATGAGAAATAGTATTACTTTTTTCTTCTTTTTTCTTTCTTCTTAAAACCAGTGAAACAGGACAAAACCATACTTGAGCCCTGAGATTATCTTTATTTACTCTCTACCTTGACACAGAGACCTCTTCACCTCAGAAGCTCTTTCCACCCCTGGAATAGTTTTCACAAGGTCTCACCTTATGATTGATTGGCTTCTTCCAGAACCTCCAATTTAAGAAGGAGGCCTTGGGCAAAAATGTCCATGTGGCTATGCCTTTTTTTCCTCTTGAGGCTCTTATCTGCACTTTCAGTGGAATCACTTTCTTTTTCTGGTTTTACAACTTGGGCTTCTTCTAACACAGAGTATTTCTTCAATGCATTCAGTGTTTTATTCTGTTTACTTAAATTTTCAGCCCCATTTCCTGGTTTTGGGATGGCATTCCAGGGTCTGGTTTTACCCCCTTTTTCAAGACTTTGGCATTATTTTTGAAATCTGTTTCATCATTAGGTAACATTTCTGGGGTTTGTGTTAAGCATAGATTTTCAATGTGTAGGTTCTTCACATTTTCTGTCTTCAGGTTTAAAGTAAATCCTTAACTTACATCCTTATCCCATCTCATCTACATTTAAGAATGCAGTTGTTTCTTATGATTTCCCTGTATTGATCTGTAATGTGCTGTGTAACTCTGACTTGATGAAGTCCTTTCCTATAAATGCTTCAATGAAAAAAATGATATAGTAGCCACACATAATAAAAACATTCATATCTTCAGCCTATTTTATGTACATTCTTGTTTTACCAAACCTTTGGTAGTCAGCATCAAATATACCAAAAACTTTTCTAGTAGGTGTGGTACTGGTATTTCTGAATTGTTCTAAGGTATTTTGCCTTCTTGTGGTCCAAGAACAAGATGGAGGGCTACTTATTTTTCTGTTCTCCATGTCAAGTTGATAATCACAACAGTTCCAAGTAGGGTCAGTCTGCAACCCATGCTCTCTCATTCATTTCTTAGATTCACAGGAGCAGATACATCACACTGAATGGGGTGGTATTTCCAGGGCCCAGATGGATATTTTCATGGTGTCTTCCAGGTCTTTACAGCTTTACACAGTGTTCACAGGGCAAACAGAATTCTCAATATACATCGTCCTGGGTGGCATTTCCTGTCTTCGCTATCTTTTCTCCCACTCTCCAACAGGAATGATGGGTTGGATTTTATTAATAAAAGATTCACAGGTATTTTAATATTCAAGAATATACATTTATCAAATAAAATAAAATTTATTTCCTGTGCCTAATGGTGGGAGGTAAAAAATCTAGTATTTGCCTTAGAGATCACTCTAACAGCAACTAAATTAATAATGTCAATTCAACAGACATATATTAAGCACCTGCTACATTCCAGGCACTGTGTTAGGCAGCATGGATATAAAAAACAAAAATGAAAACAGTTCTTTCCCTCAATTACATTATACTGAAGGGAAAGCACATAAACATAGGGAAGCAAATACAAAATAAATACAAAATTAAGAAAGCTGTCTACCTACCCAGGAGCTTTAAAATCTTTCCTTCATTTTTTTGGGGGGGCTAGGCAATGGGGTTAAGTGACTTGCCCAGGGTCACAACAGCTAGCAAGTGTCAAGTGTCTGAGGCCGCATTTGAACTCAGGTCCTTCTGACTTCAGGGTTGGTGCTCTATCCACCGTGCCACCTAGCTGCCCCCTCCTTCATTTTTTCAACCTTATTCAATGGCCTGGCATTTTCTTGTACATTTCTTTTAGAACAGTACACTTTGTTTGCTCAGTGACCGTATTTAAGGTCACTCTAAGGGCACATACCACACAGGGGTATATGTGCCATGACTGTCACCTAGGTATTATTAACTCTGGGGCTGTGATTTCCAAAGTTTCTCAAAGAATGTTACAAAATTCTTCCAAGATCCTCCAAACAAGGTAATTGTAATTTTCTTTAAAAAAAAAATAAAAAGAGTTTGGGTATCACTGATCTAACTGTCTTGCCCAACCTAACTTTAAAGCCTCATCTCAATTCCTCTCCCTAAAAAACTGGGGCAATTTCTCCAAACTTTTGCTTGCACATTTAATTTGTGACTTGCTTGCGAAGACTTCAACTCTAATTCTATACCAACCTTGCTCCACTTGTTCCCGGGCATGTTGGTTGGTCATTCCAGGATATGGACAGACTCCTAAACTGAAGGTCTCCCACAAAAGGATACCAAAGCTCCATGCATCACTTTCAGAACTGTATCTTCCTGGTAGGAAAAATAAAGAGACAAAAACAAGAGTGAACATGCAGGTGGTTTAAAAGTGGAGAACATTTTTTAATATATAAATTTTCACCATCACATTTTAAAATTACCAAAAGGATAAAATTATCAATGTTTCTGTTTCAGTTCCAAAGTTTTATTTCATAATCTTTAAATAGCTGGCATATATAAACAAGTCTCTTTTTTCCCTTCAGGAAAATATTTATCAAGCATGTGAACTTGTTCTTCAAGTGATGTTTGAATACGATGATTATTTCCTATAAAAAACATATAAATTTAGATAGACCAATGCTTGTGAGGAGATTTACAAGCTGGATTTCAGATATTTTGCTTTATGCTTAAATTCAATTTTCTTTTCCCATTAAAATTATGAACAACAAACTTGAAGCAATAAGGTACCTTCTTTGTATTGATTTTTATTCTTTGTTTATGTTTTCTTCTATGTATAAAAGTCTCATTTCTCTCTTGATTCTTTCATTTGCCTAAAATGCAATTTTTTTCTGTTTTGAATAGTGAGGAAATTAACATAGGTGGCTGATAAAAACAACTTCTTTAAAATACATGGTACTTAGTTTTGTAAAAATATCTTCATGCAACTGCCTCACTAAACATTATGAGTAAATGAATTTGGAGACAGGTGCATAATTCAAAAGAGAAAATACTATCAGCAACAATTTAACAAAACCCTATCTCAATCTCTCAAAGTACTAAGAATCTCAAGGATTTTCGAAAGTTACTCAAGTTTTTATTTTAATTTCAAATTGAGGGCCAAAAAGAGTGCTAGTTTAGTTCCACTACTGGGCAAGTGGGATCATTTTAAAGATTCCTCAAATGATTTCCTTTTCTACATCTTTCACACTTTTCTGGCCTATTCACTGCCATTTTAATATTTACAAAATTCAATCCTTCTCCTATTTTTGCTTGTTATTATAAGTGAACTACTCTTTTTTTTCCTCTGAAGGAAGTACAATGGTACTGGGAGTATATGAGTGATGTTAAGGATTCTGACGTCAGTAAAATTTCTGCCCACTTACTAAATATCATATCCAGCTGTGTTAAATTACTTTTCCTTCTTAGTAGATAGTAATTACAGACAATCATGATACTGTTGGTGGTAAGATTAGTTTTCTTGTCTGCATATCAACTCTCTTCAGAGTTTAGCATCCAGTCATTTATCACTTTTCATTAAAGTCATTCTTAAGAAAGTACAAGTTATTTAGTTAATTATTTCCTCCATCCTAATCCCTCAACCTTCCTATCTACACACAAAGTTAGATATTATCTTGTGTAGAGATCAAAAGAGACATAGTCATGTAAAAACCAAGAATACATATGAAAAATACCTAAAATCATGAACACATCTGTGGTTAGGTTTTTAAAGTCTATCACAAAGCCATTTATTGTTGCTATTATGTTCTAGGCAATGGGGGAAATGCAAAGATAAAAATGATATCACTTTTGAACCTTGTATCTTAGTGGGCTACATTTTCAAAGTATTTTTGCCTATAAAAATCTAATTAAAGTGAAAGGCTATTACTTGATTAAAATTTCCCTGTAACACACTAAAAAATATACTCTTGAAATTTTGTTCAATTTCATGGTTTTAAAATATTCCATTTGTCCTTTACAAACATATCAACTTTCATTTTTGTTCATTTGTTCAATCATTATTTGTTAAGCTACTACATGTTAAGTACTGGGAAGGACATAGAGATAATTGCAATGTAATGATAATGCTGCTTAATTTAAGACAGTATTATTAAATTTAATTCAGGCAGGGCTTTCTATTGCCCAGTGTTCCAAATATGCACTGTCCCTATGTTCTAGTTAGCCTCTTTCAAGCTTCCAATTTGTTGTGTAGATCTGTATAGATGTTAGACCCAAGACTACAAACTTAGAAGAAGGGAAAAAAAAATCAGTGACAGAATGGCTAAAAAAATTAGGAAGAAATTCAATACCAAATGCAAAACTCTTGTGCCATAAAGTTGAAAAAAAATGGGGAGCTTTCACTTACCAAAATTCAATAGTATTTTCTTTAGGAAAATAACTTGAGGATGAAATGCTAATTAATTCACATCAGTTTTGGCCTCTGAATATTGAAATAGCTTCTCAAAGAGCATCCTTGTCATGTAAGATCTCTTTGAGTGGTTTCATAAACCACTCCCTCATTTGCATGAGAAATGCCTTCTTCCTCTTCAGCTCTTTCTTTTACATCTGACTTCTTCTGAAATTTGTCAATTCACAGTAAAGACTTCTAACCCTGGCCGTCACTGGTATAAACAATTTTTGTTGGGATGCTTTATGCTCTTGTCAGTAAGACCATTTGGCAATGGAAAGATAGAACATAAAAAGCTGGTTTAGTAAAACTCTGAATGAACTTGAAAAAATATGAAGTTAGATTTTAGTTGTTCTAATAGCTTATTCAAAATAATTTCATTTCTGGGCCAGGAATTCAACAATTTCCTAAGCAGAGCCCAGGACCAGTATCTAGAGAGGTGAATTTTTAGTAGGAAGATGTTTAGGTAACTGTGTCTCAGTTGTCTATCCATAATTCTCTAATAGAGATGTAACAATTAGCCAGAAAGTGTTTGGAGCTGTATGAAGAAAAAAGGGTTCGTATTAAATACAAATCATTATAATACTGGGCTTTTTTCTATTCTTATTCACCATACCTAATTTATTCCTACGGAAATATCAACAACAACCCCAAGAAGAAACACTATGGAAAATTACAGGGTAGCTATTGGGTGTTTGAAATTGCAGCGAATCCTCTTGCTGGCATGAAGGAAAACAACCAAGAGAAGGGAAATTGGTTATATATTTGGAATGTTGGGTTCATTCTTGAGAAGGAGAAATGCCTAGTCAATACCTGCCCACATCACTTACCTGGCCTTCATTTAACATTCCACAGCACTCTGGCAATAGAATTTTAAAAAAGCATCACAATCGAGGTGAAGTCTCTGGGGCAGAATTGGAGAAGGTAGCTTACATTCACAATTGTCAGCATTGTTACTAAGAAGCACCTGAGATTTTAGTATGTAGTTCTCATAAGCACCAAATTCATATTGATTTTTAAAAATGAGACTACATGTGATTAATAAAGTAAAATTCATTGTTCATTCATTATTTTCAGCACCCTGAATTTACTAGAACTTCACCACAACAAAACAATAAAAATAACGTCTGAATTTCAAATACATTTTATCAAAAGCCCAAAGGTCTCTGCTACAGTTTCTTAGCTAGATGATTTGAGACATTCTGTTAAAAAATTTAAAGGAAATGGGGCAGGTAGGTGGCACAGTGGACAGAGCACTGGCCCTGGAGTCAGGAGGACCTGAGTTCAAATCTGGTCTCAGACCAGACACTTGACATTGACACTTACTAGCTGTGTGACCCTGGGCAAGTCACTTAACCCCAACTGCCTTGCCAAAAGGAAAAAAAAAAAGAAAATTAAATGAAAGCAATAGTGGGCATTAAAAAAAAATTAGGAATCAAAGAAAAGATTTGAGAATTCAAGCAATGTGAATATAGATAATAATCATGCAATTTCAGTATTAACACACACAGATGACCTATCCAGAACACTTTTCAAAATAGATTCTGGAATATTTTGGATTCTTCTTCATCTATGAGGACCAGTGGGCAGGTACTGGACCAGCTTAATTTTAAATCCATTTCATAGTCACAGTTTTACCTAGTTTAACTGCAGGAATATTAAAATTTTTCAAACTGAAGTAAATTTTTAGTTTGAAATCAATAAAGGAACAGTTTACAATATTTTATTTGATATACTTTCTAAAAATAATTTTTGTAACTCTATGCTTGGCAACTCCAATTAATATGAACATTTGCATATGCAAAAAAGAAAAGAAAATGAAGTAAGAACATGAAGCCATGAATCTCCATAAGAAACAGCTTGCTTTTAAAAAAAAGCATATAATAAATTCAACGTGAGTTTTAAAGTTGACCATCTTGTTTGTGTCCCTCCAAATTTCCCTTTTTAAACATTTCTATGGCCTACTTTTCTCTGTAAGGATGGAGCTTACAGAATAAATAAATCAATCATCCCACCCTAATTCATCTAACACAATAATATCTTATCAGGTTAAAAAAAAAACACCTCAATCAATCAATCAAAGTACATGGGAAAAACTTAGTTTATCAAATTGGAAATGGGTAGAGCATATCAAGCCACAGGATGAAATGAAATGTTATCTAGGAAGGGTGATGGGATGACCTAATAAACTCCAAGAAGTGGAAGATTTCAGACTTCCTAATAGCCATGGGTATGCAGCAGGGTCCTAATATACTTTTGGTGTAGTGTCCCTGAAGCAGGAGCAATTTATGGCAACATTTATACAAGATACTAAGGAAAAAAACTAGACACACCAGGGAAAGGCAGCTTCAGGAGAAAGAAGGAACCTGGTAGAAAGCTCTGCCACGCCTACACGTAACTTCACAGAGACTCCAAAGAGAGAGCAAAGTTGCTGCTGTAGGTTCTCCCTTGGCCATATGAACTCTCCAAGCCTGAGTCCACTTTCTACTAGACTCAGTATATACTTGCGGAAATGTCCTAGATAGACTTTTGGGACAAATGTTTTATAACAACTGTCCTTACTATATTAGCAAATACCTCTAACTACAAGCTAATATTTGGCTGGTAATTGATATTAAATGATAACCAATGTGTGTGTGGGGGCATACCAGTAGAGACTTGTGAGCTAATTTCTAACTCCTCACAGTTATTCCTAGAACCCTTAAGGGAGAAATAGCTAGCCAACATAGCTTCCCAATGTGAACAGGAATTTGGGATAGCAATCTCAGAGAATATGCGCTATGCTTCTTTTTATTTTTTTTTTGTTACATCACTATTATCCCCTTAAATTTAAAAAATAAAACCCTTAATGAATGGCTGCATGAAAAAAAATATTAGTCTTATATTTGTTATAATAATGTATAATATTATAAATAATATTATGCCATAATGTATAAATAATAATTACTGTGCTAAGCACTGGAGATACAAACAGAATACAGAGCTTGCTCTTAAGAAGCTCGAATTCTGCAGGTTTCAGCTGCAAGTCAGATGGAAAGTCAACTATTAGGGTTCAGTGGCAAAGCAGATGGTAATGTTTCTTCTTTAATGTTATTTCCATTGATAAGTCACATCAGTTTCTGCAGATGAACCATCTGAGGATTTTTTTGGTGATTACCTTCTTTTCTGGGTCTTCATTCACTATGGCTGTAGTGTCCACAGAAGTAGCTGCCAGGCCCTATCTCCACTAGGTTGGCTTCTGGGGATGATTGGGAGGGGAGGTGGAGAGTGAGCTGGAAGCAGAAGCAGCCTGGGGAGTGCAGCCACTGTTGAGGCTCTTGGGTTTACCTACCATTTGGTGGCAGTTGGTATTTGTGGTGATGAGGAAAGTGGGCCCCTTTTTCAAAGTGATACAATGGTACTACCAAATCAAGCAAAACAAATCCACACATTGGCAATATCTGAAAATGTGTGTCTTATGTATAGAATGGTACCATGGGTATCATGTTTCATCATCAATCCCACTGGAGTTATGGGTTGGTCATTGTGCTGAACAGAATTCAGAAATTATTCAAGACATGCTATACTCATTCACCAACCCTAGGCTTGCATGCTGCATCTTAATTGCCTTCCTTTACTGAAAATGTGATTCTAGATTTTTCTTTAAAGCCCAATCTGATCTTTTCTTCCTTTTATTCCTGATCTTGTTATAGCATATTACTCTCAACAAACATAAGATGTGTGTTATATTTCCTTTTGAAATGATGCATAAAATTTTGAGTAAAAAAATCTCATATTTAAAAAAGTAATTTTTGTCTTCCTTTTCCTATAAGAATTGTACAAAAAATACATTCTAAAATATTAAAAAAGATTGAATGACATTTAACCTATGGGTACTCCAGGTAATTCAGTAAGGCTATAAATTGTAGAATAGCATTGCTGACCTGCACTGGCAAGGGGAATTTCCTCAATAGAAAACCACAGGTACAAACCTCCCCACAACACCACCTCACCCTCTCCTACCCCCACCCCCATCAAAAAAAAAGATGTCAGGAAAACAAATAAATTTCATGATGAAGGGCTAAAGAATTAATGAAAATTAATTTTAGGGATCTAATTTTAGATGCAGCTACTGAGTCAAATATAAACTATTCCATTGCAGGGGCCTAGCACCAAAGTCAGTGCATTATAGTTACTGTGCATATATTGCAACTATTTGAGTTAGCACAGATATACCTATATTTTTGGGAAAGGGGAAAAAATTTTTATGCTTTTAAAATAGCATGTACTGTCATGTTTTTTTCAAAGGTGATCATAAATGAATCAGTGTCAGTGAAGTGCGAACACATTTTTGTGAAGAAATCTGATAAACAATTCTACATATTTAATGTACATGTACATATTAAAGTATTAAGGTATAAAAGTTTTCACATCATTGTGATCAAATACATGCTGAAGGAATTCAAAACTGGACTAAACTTCATATTCTGTGATCTATTTTGTAAATAATTTCATGCTGTATGTAGCTCATTTTATATACTAAAAGGAAAGAAAGAATATATTCTTACCGTAATTGAGGGCCTCTGGAGCAGTCCATTTGATGGGAATTTGCTTTAAGCCAGAAGAAGAATATATACCACCATCTTCTTGACGAGACATTCCAAAGTCACTGATTTTCAGAATATTATTTTCCCCTACCAGGCAATTTCTTGCAGCAAGGTCCCTAAATTAAACAAAGACACAGAAAACATCTATTAATACAAACTGAAAGCAATTTTCATGCTTATATTTTTAGGGTTTCTTCCCCATATCTACAATATAGATATGTCTAAAGCACAGGTCCTTCCACTGCTCAAGATGCCTTCCTTAGCGGCTCCCTATTGCCTCTAGATAAATCATAAACTCTTTTGCTTGGCATTTAAAGCCCTTTACAATTTGGATCCATCTTTCAAAGCTGGTCACATTTTACTCTTTCACACATTACTACAATCCAACGAAACTGCTCAACTTGCTACTGGTATAGGACATTCCATCTTGTATCCCTGGTATAGGGCTCTATGACTTGAAATGTGCTCTCTCTTCACCTCTGTCTATGGTATCTCTAGCTCTCTTTAAGATTCAACTTAAGTGTCAACTTAAACGCTGAAGCATTTTTGGAATTCCTCAGTTGTTAGTACTCATTGCTATCAGAAATTATTGTGCATTCATTTTCTGTTTGTGCATGTTACTGTGGTTAGAGAGACAGCCTTGGAGTCAAGATTATCTAGGTTCAAGTTCTACCTTTGACTAAGCAAGTCATTTAAATTCTTAATGCCCTACCCAGGCAATTCTTTAAGATTATAATTTCATATGAATCACTGATCTGCAGTGGTACAGTTTGTTTCCTCACTGGGGAGCCTCCTATGCGGATAAAATCTCTGCTTTGGATGGAGGGCAGATAGTTTCATTTTTGTTTTTGCTTTCCCAGGGTCAGGCATAGTGACTGACTCTTAGTGATAAATGCTTGCTGAACTGAATATAATTTTAAAAGTCTGTGACTTAATAGTCATTCTCATCCTTTCTGTTACAGATAAAAATCCTCCATCTTTACGTAGTCTTTACGTTCCAGACAACGTGTATATTTCAATTTAAGTGATAAAAACAAATACCTAAGGATATAAAACAAGGTAAGAAGTGCATAAGTAGCAAAATTGGCTTACTTTCCCCACAGAATTTATTTTTTCTAACAGACTAATGAGTAGTTCTAGTAAGGAGAGAGATGGCTAGAATATAGAGTGACAAGGGATTAGAGAAACTGCAAATTCTTTTCATCTGCCTCTATAATACTGGTTATAATAAAAAGCAAGAATAATATTCTGGAATGAAGCCATTCCTTTCTTTTCCCTCCAGCATTTTTTTTTCTGTCAGAAGAGCCATCATCTCATCCTTAATTAATTGGACAACTTTGCATACTTATATTCTGTAATCTAAAAATTAAAACATGTTTCAGGATTACTAGGAAACTAGTGTCTAATTTAGAGAACTCTAACTTGGATGCTACTATTTCTGAGATAATTATCTACATGATTAGTTGAGGTTGATATTTTTCATTAGGTATTGAATATGCTTTGTTAATAAGTATTACAAGTCTTGTGTTGGGAGAGTTATAACACAAAACTAACACAATTAGGTCTAACTCAAAAAGAATGTATTATAGACCTTCCCAATTGCTGACATGATCCACAGGGACCAGCTCCTTTATCAGGGAGAATAGTATTTAACTCTAAGAAACTCTATCTAGGAAAAAATTAATTTACTTATTTACAAGTTCTAGAGTCTATATATTGTGAATACTTTCTTCAATACAGTCAGAAGGCATTGAAGATGGACTGTACCAAATAACATCACAAAAATTAAGTTGATTAAATTTTAATAGATGTTGGAGTCCTTTCCAAACTAACTCTCAGAGTGCAGTAAGATCAATGACTAATTATTTTGAACTTGACAAAACCATCAAACATGAATATTTATGTAAACAAAGACTAGAAAAATAAGATGGTATATGAAACTGTGAACTATCTTATGTACAGATTTTTAAAAATATATAATTCAATATATTAATTTCAAAGCTGTCCTGCTTGTCTGTGTTTCCCTCTGTGTTTCCCTCAGAGGAAAAATTAAATGAAATATGAAATTAGAAGAAAATGATAAAGACATACAATGGGAAATAGATAAAAGACCAAGCATTAACATGAATGATCACCATTTCCTAAGTATTTACTGATGTAAATCAATCATAACAATGAGGAGATCAAAAGGACTTAGCACATGACCAGTAAACACTTGATCTTGACAAGCAGAGTTATATGGTAGTCAAAGTCAAATTGGTTTGCAATAAAAATGCATTTATAAAATCTTATGGCTTATGGAGGAAGATAATGAACAATATCACCTCATAAAATACTGGGGAGTAGTGGATGGAAAAACAATATTATAGAAACTCTGGTAAGAGATTAAATTATGCCAGACATCCCCATGTTACTTAAGTATGATATCAGAGAACTGACCTCCAGCATTTAGCACAGTGCCTGGCACATAACAGGTGCCTCATAAATGTTTACTGACTGAGTGAAAGATGGCAAACAGATTGAAAATGTAAAAGATAAATGAAAATTTATATGAGTCACCATATTTGGATTCTAACATCATATTCCCTGACATGCTAAAGGAAGATGTAAAAATAGCACTAAGGAAAACAAATATAGAAAGAGAGGTTGAACTAGACCAACGATAAATAGAGAAAGGCTGAGCTGGAGACAATTTTAGGAATATTGAGGGATTGAATTTTAAGATATCTCAAAAAATATCATGGATCTTATAAGTGACTGAATACAAAGGTAATTAAGAAAAACATAAAAAATCATCAATTCAAACACCTGCTTTTCTGTTGTCACAAAGCTTCTGAGAGAATGATATACTCCTATTAAGGTTATCCTTGATGAAAGTATTAGATAGGAAAAGGCAAACTTTTCCAAATAAAATACATTCATACATCTAAGTGAAAGGTATAGAAAACACAAACTCTCACACTAATTTTTATTTATTGACTAAACAACATTTGGTAGGGCAAACACAGTCATAAACTGCATGCTCATGTCAAAATTATACAAGATTCCTTCAAAAATGTGACAAAGATAACTTTGTTTGATGAGAGCTGTTTTATGAATTTTAACAGCCACCATTCTCTCCTCCCTACTCCCTTTTGCTCTGGATATTTAATGAGCCATCCACTGTTATAACAACTGGTTCTCTCTCTCTCTCTCTCCCTCTCTCTCTCTCTCTCTCTCTAGCTTAGGAGTAATAATAATAATAGCTTCAGGTCAATTTTCTTTATTTTATGTAGTCTATACCAGACAAAAAGTAATTAATACCATTACAATAGCTCAGAGCACTCAGAAAAAAATTACTAACAATCAGAGATTTAGCTCTCTGTTCTACTTTAAATTTTCATTTATATCTAGCTAGTCTTTCATCTCTTTATGTTTAAGGCAAAATTCAGAATACACAACAAGAGGGAAATGGAATACATTACAGTGTATGTTACTGAACATCACCAAAAGGGGAAGTTGGGGAAAGAGCTAGGTTTTTTTTTTTTAAGAATTTCCCCCAGTCCTTTAATTGGTGGGTTCAACTGATACCTTTACATGTTTGAAGAGAGGTAGTGTGGTAGAGTAGAAATTGAGATGGACTTGAAGTGGGATAACCTAGGCTTAAATCATGACTATGCCACTTATTAGCTGTGTGCCCTTGGGAAAGTCATTTAACTTCTCTAGTTATCTCAACTCCTCATTTTACAAATGAGGAGGTTTGATTAGATGGGCTCTGAAGTCCCCTCTAGCTCTAAATTCAATGGGTCCTATGGTATAGGCTCTTATATTTGTTTGCTTAAAGGTGTTTACCCCTGTCACAGAAGGTCTCCAAATGGATGAGGGACTTCCTATAAAGAGTGAATTTCTCCAGATGCTCCTAGTATGGGGTGACCTTTTGCTGACTGCATCAAGCCCCAGAATACTGCAGAGCATACTAAATGAGACATATAAGCATTAAGAAAGTTGAGTGTACCTATACAAGAAAAACCAAGTAGATGAAGAATGCCTACTGTCCAGATGATGATGTGCAGTTGTATCTTCAACAACAGACACTACAGGAGAGTGATGAACTGGGCTTGAAACTGAACAGGAGGAAGACAGCAGGTTGGACTACATTTGAAAAGTTGTATAGTGCTTCAATGACCCCCATTTCTTCTTGAAACAAAGTACTATCTTCTTAATATTATTTTTCCTGTGATTGCATATGGATCCAAGTCATGTAATGCTAGAGTTTCCAAAGAATTAAACTTGCGTGTAACACAAAGGGCAATGGAGAGATGTGTCAACACATCTCACCCAAAATATGCACTGGCAGAGTGGGATATTTCTGGGAAAATGTGAGAGGTCACTACATACAGGAATCTGAATACCAAGCCTCATATTTTCTTTCAAAGTGATTACCTGAAGTATGACAGATTCTAGAATTACACAAATAAGTTCACCTTCAACTGGAAACCAGATATTAACTAGTAAATTAGAGCCTGGAAAATAAAAAAGTAAAACTGCAAAAATTCTCAAAGAATTACAACCTATAATTAAAATATTCCCTTTGGTGCCTATTTTCTTTAGCTCTGAAATGTACAATGTGGTGCCTCTCCTTTTGTGAGCAGATTAACAATATGTTAAATATAGTAAATCAGAAATGATTAGATGGTAGATACAGTATTCTCTCTATTTGTGATTTCATTTCATACATTACTTACCATGTTTCTAAGTCAGTATTTATCTCTCACAAAGAAAAGGAATTAAAGAAATATTTACTTTGTTGTAGGAAAGCTTTTCACATGGGATACAGAAGATAGTGAACCATATTACAAGCACTGATAATGAAAAAAAAATTTCCTCTTTAGAGTCCTGGAGCTCTATTCTGAAAATAAGGTCTTGATAGAACAGTTTTTTTGGAATGCCCATCTAACTCAGGTAGGAGTCTAAGGTTCTCTTATGAAGAACAGGTAGAAAACTGTAGAGGTAGAAAAGGGAAGAAAAGTGAAGAAAGGTAGAAGGAATGTAAAGAAAGTGAAAGTCAGATTACATTGAAAATTGGGGGGAAAGCGAACACAAACTGACACACACAAATATGAAGCCAACACCCCGG